AGAGGAGGAATTCCTGCATCTGTCGCAACAACAGTGATGTTATATTCTGAAGCACTTTCACGATCTAACACAGTGTCTGTCACTAATGTATAATAATTTCTTAAATTAGATTTGATCTTAAAAGGTGCGTTTTGTTCTATTCTACAGTTAACTTGTCCRTTATCACCTGAATCGAGGTCTTTTACATTTATGATGCCAATAGTTGTTCCAGGAGGGGAGTCCTCTGACACGGGACTAGTGAATGACATCACATTTATGAGAGGCGGATTATCATTCACGTCAATTACATCCACTATAACTTTAGACGAGTCTGTCAAAGCTCCCTGGTCCGTTGCCTCAATGCGTATTTCATATTTCTTTGCTTTTTCAAAGTCTACTTCCCCTGAAAGAAATATCAAACCCGTTGTCTTGTTAATTTCAAATATCCTGTCAATGTTGCCCTGCATTTTAGAAATAGAATAAGTAATCAAACCATTTGAGCCACTATCAGCATCAGTTGCATTCACAGTACTGATATATGTTCCTTTTACAGAATTTTCCATTACAGTAGCTTTGTAGACTGACTGATTGAAAACGGGAGAATTATCATTAGCATCTAGGACAGTAATATCTATATTTACTGTACCAGATTTCTGTGGCGTTCCACCGTCTACTGCTATCAGTTTTAACGACAGACTCGGGTATCGCTCTCTATCCAACGGTTTCTCCAGTACCATCTCCGCATATTTACTTCCGTCAGTATTTGAATGCTTCATTAAAATAAAATTTTCATTCGGAGATAAATGGTAGCCCTGAAGCCCATTGACTCCCACATCAGGATCATTTGCTGTTGGCAAAACAAAACGTGCCCCCGGAGCGGCTGATTCTCCAATCGTCAGTTTCATGTCGTGCTGATGGAAAGAAGGCGAATTATCATTTATGTCTAACACTTCGACTGTGACGTGGTGTAATTCCATCGGGTTTTCTAAAATCAAATCAAAACTGAAGCTACACGGCGTCACGTCTCCGCAAAGCTGCTCTCGATCTATTCTCTCATTCACGGTCAAAGTCCCTTTGTCTGTCTTCAGCTCGGTGTACTGGATGTTTTCTCCGGTCACGATACGGGCCCGACCAGAACGGAGCCTCTGAGTGTTTATCCCAAGGTCCGATGCGACATTTCCAATAAGGGAACCTTTCTTCATCTCCTCGGGGATCGAGTATCTTATTTGTCCGGTGGCATTGTGACTCAAAAAAAAGAGAAAGAGAATGCACTGCGACAACAGTTTGTGGCACAAACGCCATTTTAGAGTCCGGCAGAGATATTTCCTCAAATCCATGTTAGCAAAGAACTGGAATGACGGGATAAGATCCAACTCCGATACAACCCAATGAACAAAAGATTCAAGGGTTATTTATACTAAAAACATTTATGTTTCCAATGTCTTCTCGCGTTGAAAAAGGTGTCAAATCAAAGCCAGTCATGCGCCCTTCTCGACGTCGTTCACAGTTTAAAGCTCATCCACCCACCACAGAACAGAATGAAGCAAGGCACCGCCTAACAAAGTGCCTGGGTTTGTTTTTAATAAACCAACAGCGTCCCTTAGAGTCCAGTCACTGAATATCAACACAGAGAAGGAAAATAACTGCAAATGTAATGTTCATAATAACTGATTATTAAACAAACCCATATAACTAAAGAAGTATTTATACTTACAGTGCTAAAAAATTATAAAAAGCATTTCTACAACAATAGGGCCCTAATCTTCATCCGAGAAACACAGAAACACTATAAAAGATATTCCATCTAAATAAATTGCAGGATTTCAAGAGCTCTACGCAAGCAACCAAATCTGAAAATGCAAACCTCTCTTCAAAAAGAGTATTATTGACTTTACTGTTACTTAAATCACATGAAAGTATTTCCATATAATTTGAGGAAGCTGCAACATTAATTTATGTTTAATGAGTTGGTGCTCTATTACTTTATATGAGCTTTGCAAAATTTAGTGGAGAAACAAAAATGTTACAATACAGACGTCAAGATGGCTTTATGACCATTGTCACAAATATAAATTGTATGAGGCCCCTGTTTGATCCAACACCAATGAATAAACATGGCAACAATATCTCCTTATCACTTGCATTGGATGTTAAATGGAAAAAAAAATGTTAAAAGCACAAATGGCCCAAAACATAATATTATACTTTGCTAGTTCATTTGATTTGTATAATTGCGGTTTAAAGCCACTGCTGTGTTCACCAAGTGTGTTAAATAATTTCATTTTGTATGAACTGAGATGCTGTCCATGGTGCTGAAAGTGACATCAGATTATAAAAACTCATCAAAGCACGTGTCTGAGACAAAGGAAGATACACATACAGGGACAAAACAATGTGAGATTATCCTGACTCACCTCTAGAGGAGAGTCTGGTTCATCCAGGATGCTCTTTTCACTTTGTATCCTCTGCATCGTCCCTGTAGAACTGGGGTCCATGATCAGCACGTTCTGACTACCAGCTCTGCCGAACTTACAGTCACTCTTTCTGGAGTC